GTAATTAAATTTCCTCGTTTTACTACGCGAATCAACTGCTCCCTGTCTAATGAATTTTTTAGCCCTCGCGTGAGCTACAAATAGCTGCACTTCACTCCTGAAAACTAGAACAGAGGACTGAAACTTTGCGAAGTAGTGTATTTTATTAGATTCCATGGGGTAGCAGTTGCACGTCAGTTTTTTAACATTAATGAATAGAAATATGGAACAGAGGTAATATTAAAACTTATCGTATCCCTGTTATTATATTAATGCATTCACTGCCATGGTAGAAATGACCGTGTGGTCGGACATATTAAACCACTAATTACTAAGCCCGCGATGGGTTAATTTTCAGATATAAAATTTCAGTTTGCTATTTTACATTATTAGTGTAATGTTGGTTGCGGTCATCGATGACCACCGTTGCCAGTAAATTATAGAATAATTTATTTTGTTAGATTTCAGTTGCCTATTTGTCGCATATCATTAATGAAGAGTAATATAAAAGAAACTTGGTTGAGTAATATCGAAATCTGTTGTATCGCAATCGTCAACGCTTTAATTCAAATATGTATCTTCGAACGATCATCAAACCTAGAACTCGTGTTTACAGCTGACACCAGAGTGTTCGCCTCCAGGGATGGGGTCAAGTTCAATATGTACTCTCGAATCCGAGTCATTTCCAATATAAGTTCCACTTGATGGAATTCGAACTCGCAAAAGGTGAAATTTCATTTAAAGACAACTTACACTCAAATTCCTGGTTATTCTTTTTGAAACACCTTGTATTTGTATGTCATCTCTATTCGTCACCGTAGAGAAACGAAAGTACATATTCCGTCGAGCAGTTTTATCTGATGTTGCTTAGGAAATTGTAAGAAAGCGGGCTTCGTAGCGTAAAAGGACAGTACTACAAGTTTTGCCGGCCAATTGAGCCGACATAAAAGCTCAGAGGAATTGCAGCTGCGGGTCAACGAATCGTCCACTCGCACGAACACAAAGGAACTGGCAAAGCACATGGCAGATTCTCTCTCTGAACCCCGTCCCTTTCTTCTTCTTCTTCTCTTATTCTTTCTCTTGTATAGCCTTCTTCATGGCACTGTCTCGTTGTGTTTTCGTCGTACAGTGTCGCTAGCATTGTTCCCTGTTTTTCGCGAAATCAATTTTTCCTTGCTCGCGACAGCCACGACGAGACTTCGACTTCAACGTCTCGTCCCGTTTACGATCGATTGCGTGCAATCGAACGGCCTCGTAAACAGTATTACCTAGCGCGACGGATGCTTCAATTTGACGGAATGGTTTAACAACTAGATCGGTGTTGTTTTATTGGTTACGTTGTTGTTTCCCCCTTTTTTTTCATTACTTTCTCGGTTCGATGAAACCATTCTTTTCTCATCTTTTTTTTTTGTACGTCGAGTCTATGGTAGAACGAGATAATCGTTGGGGGATGAAACGGAGTCAATTTCAGTTTAACGAAGAAATATGTGTAAGAGGATTTGGGTAACTGATCGTCGAAAGGTATTGCATTTGTTATGGTCACAATTAGTTTCAATTGCTTAGATATATTTGCATCTTTTTGCACAAAGTTTTGTAAACGACTATTGTGGTTATTAATCCTTCAGTGATTGAGTCGATCGTTACAGAGACTAAGCTTGCAAGATTTTTGATAAAAATTTATTAAACGACATATGTCGTGAATTCTTCATGCTTACATTTTTATCAGACAATTTGCGAATTAACAGAAATGTCAACTGTCGCATTTAGTACAATTTCGTGGCTCCGTGTCACATGCAAATACGGTATTTTCGGCTCTGACGTATGCGAACGCCTCAAATTATTTTGTCAAATAACATGCACGTTTTATGAGAAGATAATATTATTAAAACTTGTAAATTAGGAGCTACAACTATGGCAATTAAAACGTACGTGTACTGCATCTCATAATATTTGTTGCAATTTGTCTATGAACAATAATTTATAAAAGAGAATTCGTATAGTCAATTATTGTTGCCTTAACGAGTGACAAATTGATCAAGAATCAAGGAAACTTTCGTCAGCTCTCCATTTTGAATAGTTTCCTTGATATGTTCACTAACAGGAAGATTAACATTCCTTCGAACAGTTTGTGTGGCCATTTTTTAGAGACCATGCATACCTACCACTCAAGGTGATGTAAGCAAAACATAAACCCAAGTGTCAGATAGAGTTAACCCATTTGAACTTGGTATTTTGTTACAAGATAATCCCCAGAAGTACCAGAAATTTTTTTATTATTTACACAGAGTGTTCCATGGAACTGGAATAAATGGTCGAAATATATTTCGTTATATTTCATTATAAAATGGTAGAAATATTAGAAATAAATTTTCAACCAAAGTACCATAATATTTATTTGTAGAGAATTAAAAAACGCTTCCATTGATGTATAACAAAGTAAAAAATTCCAATTTTAAAAATTTTTCAACGTGAAATTTTAGGACGCATACGGTGTGTCATTAATTATTTAGACTAATGCGCATAAGGTCTCAAGGTAGTGCAATGTCGATGCATTCGTAGCTGCACAAATAACCCTGAGGCCCTGAGGAAGCATGAATGATCCCCTTGTAAGGTATTGCTTGTATAGGATTACAAAAGCTCATGTTACGCGTTGCGCAAAAGTAGTTAGCCGAGATTCGTGCGACGATCGCGGTCGACGACCATCCTCCAATCCAGCATTATTCTGAAGAATATGATTTTTTATTTATTCTTTTTTTTTTACAAGCAATCCGTGTTATTATAGGGGAACAATAGACGAAAATCAGTTCCAAAGGAGAATTCATAAATAAAGGAACACACGTTGCAGCTCCGTTGTATCGTTAAGCGTTAAGATTATTGCAAAACCTTTGACGCGATCTGCTTCCGACCTACATTTCTTTTCATTCTTCGTGTTTATACAGACTGCATTTTTTACACCTTCTGGAAAGTTTGCTGTGAAGTTACGTGGCTTTGGAGATATTCGGGATACGAAGTTCTATCCTTTTCGGTAGACTTCGCGTTTATGCAAAGCTGCCCTACAAACGAGAAATTGTGTAAGGAGTTAAGAAATGAAAAGCTTTTTCTTATGGATAGTAATAGAAGCTCTAATTATCTTTATTATGATTCAAGATAAAATTCCGTACATTTTGTTAGATTCGTTTGTAAATATTTGAATTTTTAATATTTAAAAGTATGATAATTATTTAATTTAATAGAGATTGTGTTATTAAAATTGATTTTTGTTCGAAGTCTCATGACGTTTCGTACGTTCACTAAAAAAGCTCAGACGGGACTTGTTTGCACTTTAATTAGACAAGCTGTTCCTAAATCCTACATTGCAATTAGTTATATTACGTGCATTCTACTTCTCTAGTTTTTTTGTGTTTTGACGTACTGTTTTCATTATATAATATGACTATTGATCATGCAAACATGCTCGCAGCTCTGCTACTAATACTACACACAAAGAAAATTGATGTACATATTAGGTAACCCTCGGGCAGCGGATCATGAAGAGAGCCACAATTTTAATGTAATTTTGTATTTCATATTATTTTCATATCCTAAATTTTACACTGTTTCTTTAATAATTATACATTCATTTTTGGGTTATTATCTTTGTACATATTTTGTAAATTTGAGTCACGATTGATCCAGGCTCTGCTGTTCGAGGGTCGAATGTTAAATCCAAAATACCAAGTTCTAAATAATAAATTCCACCTGTATAATACCTATTAAGTACAAAATATTAAATGTTGAGCACTGCAAGACACTTCCCAGAAATTAATTATATACAAGAAACAGGTACAGAAAATGAATGAATACCTGAATAAAGTCAGAATTGAATTATTATTGCTGGGTCAAAGTTGATTCGCAGAAGAGGAGGTCATAGCTCAGTACAAAGCTTCAATTGCTTTGTGCCTACGTACAAAACGTAGGCGAAGGTTATTAAAATTCACGGCATACAGCTGAATGAAGTGAGGCAAAATGAAATTTAAAAATTATCTTTCATCTTCGGAAAAATTCAATAATAAATGAATTTTTCATTTACCAAAATGCATGGAAATTTAAAGATAATCCAATGTGAGATTAAACGGGATTTTAATGCTTCGTTTTCTACCATTTTTCGATCCGAATTTCTTCGTCATATCGAACTTCCACCAACGCTGAACGAAATCGTATTATCACCTGGAGATAAGCTTTAATCGACGGTGATACCCGCAAACCGCGACGCCGGTACCAAGATAAAATAAAGCCTGTTACACAACGAGCGATCATCTGCTCGTTGCAGCCTGGTGTAACAACAAAAACGTTTGCGTTTCCAGCTCATGGTTCATACGTCGTTGGTGGATCATACGTGACAAGGATGTTATTATGGAGCATTCGTTGCATGAAAATGTCCTTGCTTCGTCGGCGCGGTTTTTGCGGTCCATGAAAGGTAAAAAACGTAACTCGCAACTCTGGTAGCCAGAGTATTTGCGAATGTTTTGTTCGAAAATTTTCAACGGGAAAACGCCGGCAATTTACACGATCGTTCCTGAAGCTTTACATGAAATAATTCAACCTTTAAATTGGAAAGCTATGGAAATCGTGCGAACGCGACAATAACCTTATTCGTATTATTTTTCGATTAGTTCTTTTAGAGAATATATACTAAAAATAACACTTTGCTCAAATAATTAACGATAAATTTTGTAATGCATCTTTATTGCACTTATTGCTTCAAAGATTCGTTTGAAAATATTAAGAAAAATTCATTTTTCATATTCTCATATTAAGCTCAAGATTTATCACTATTCTTATCCTTAATTAATTTTTCATAATTACTCAATGAACAAATATTAGATGTACAAATTAATTCGGTGGTTTTTCATTTTCTAATTGATGATTTATTTTTGACAAGTTATAATAACTCCAATTTAAAATTTAAAATCTTAATCCAATTTAAAATGAATTAATAACAAAACATAACAACATATGATCGTACTTTTCTTACTATTTATAAACTTGAGCTAACAAACTTTTTGAGGTCAACAATTATTGACTGACAATGAGAACTAAGTGCATAGAGCTTGATACAGGATTTAAATTCTTCTTATTTTACTAGAAAGCCAATTAATAAGCCTTTGACCATTCGTTCAATCATAATTCCATCAAAATAATAAAATCTAGATGTGGTAGATACTCTTTGAAAAATTTCATTTCTAGTCTTTTGAACGACACATACCTCTATTATACGCAATCATACTTTCCATAAATCGTTTCTAATTTTCCTTAACGACCACGAAGAATGCGGGTAAAAAGATTCGTCGCTAGAAGCGCGCCAGCATAAATGGCAACACCATGCGTCATCCAACAACGATTCCATTCCTAGATCTAGGACCTTTCCTAGACCCTTTATCCGGTTCCACAATGAAAGGGAACGGACAAGGGGAGAGGGGATACGATTTACCTGAAGAGCAAGCCAGGTGCGTTCGTTCAACCCGCGAGCGTCGTGCAGTTTACCTGCGGAAGCGTTTGCTAGCGCATCATCGCACGGAACGTTCGTGCTTCGCTCTGTTTCCTCGTGGGTGTTCCATTCCATGCGAGAACTCGACCAAAATTCACGCTTCCAGGCAACACCGTCTCGCGTTACCAAGCCTCGATGATCCGATATCCCTGCCAGGTAGACAAAAATCGATTATCAACAGCATACACCGCGTTCGTGGGTCATTCTTACTGGTATCATTTATATATTTTATGATTCTTCTATTTCTTTGTTAGATACAATGTTCCATTTTTATTAGATCCACAATTAAATTCGTCACTTTTCTTTATTTCTTAGAATTGAATTAACGAGCACCATTCGAGTCGATAACCTTTTGCTATATTTACGATAACTTTTGACTTTCTGTGACAGAATCTGATTCATTTTTAATAGAATTTAGTTAGAATTCGAGCAAAATTTAATCGTTGATCTTTCAGATATGAGTTTGATGCTATAAAATTTTCTAACTTTATTAGAATAGAATTTTGCACCTATTAATATTCTGACTGAAAATTACATTTCTGTGATTAGAAATGATAGTTCATAACGTTTGCGAATTAATCCTAATATGAATAGGTGTTATCAGTAATGTCATTGAATTCGTCATTATCTTGCGTCAGTGATATTTACTTTGACTCATCGTAAGCGCTTTGTGCGATAATATTACAGTACTCCTGGTAGTGTACAGGAATTACAATGTCCCATTTGAATGATTCATTCCGTACCCCTCGGACGGCGGACCATGGAGAGTGCCCTAATTTCACTTTAATCTTGTATTTCATATTATTTTCATTTTCTAAATTTTACACTGTATCTAAAAATTATTCTTCCAATATATGAAACTCTTTCTTTCAAAAATTATACATTTAACTTTCGATTAATATCCTTGATCGCGATTGACCCAGGCTCCGTTGTTCGAGGGATATACAAGCCATCGAAGAATGATTGTTGTACAAAACCGAATGGAAAGTATGGAATAACATTTTTTGAGAAAATCGAAAACAAAGATTGGCCGGATATGTAGAGGGAGCGATGATATTCGCAATTGCCGCCCCCACGGTTGTATCAGATGGGTCGAAATGACACCCGGCATCCGCCAGAACCGCGAGGTCATCGATTGTGGTCAAAGTGTGTCGTGCTTCGAATATTTTCACGGAAATCGGGTTGACGCGTGAAAGTACGAACGTTGTTTTCCATCGAATACGATACCGCGAAAGCGTGAGTGCTCGTTTTCAACGCGCGACACCGACCAATATTTCAGATGAAACTTTAATCACGTGTTCGACGAGACACCCGCGACAAGATAACGTTAGCTCTTCCCTTTTCTTTTTTTATAAAACACGTGTGAGTCCCTTTTGAAATCGACGAAACGTCGAGCATTGAAATTCCCCGCGAAAAACCACGTTACTCTGAACCGGTCGTCCATTTGGGAATTTCATTTTCGATAAAGTCCCTTTTCTTTTTTAAATACTGAGAAACACGGTTGTTTCATACCTGTGAAAAATCACCAGGTAAAATTTCGTGACATACATTTGATTGATACGAGAATCTTTATGCATTCGTGACATGCGATATTGAAGCGGGTACAGTTTCTTCGTGAAAGAAAAATATTTTGTCAAGAAACATGTTCGCGTTACTTTTTGATTCGATGTGCTATTGTTTCGATAAATTCGATGGAGTATCGGAGGACCAGGGAATATGTATATTAAATTCATGGGCATTGAATGGTCGTCTCCCGATGGTCAGACACGGATTCATACAAAAATCAAATTAAATCTTGGATATGTTCGAATCTATCTATGGAAATCGGCCAATCGCATCTAGCTCTATAGGTACGTCGAGAATTCCGAGAAATTTAATCAATAAGTTGAATTTTTCATTCGTACACGCTTTTCCATCCTACATTTTATTCATATTCGAATAAAATCATTTGATTATATAAGACATTTTACATAAAGAAACATCATACGTTGAGAATTTTTCCTTTTTATTAATAGAAAATTAGAAGTTGAATTTTCAGAAAATGTAAATGAAGAATTAAATTTTTTATCGTAGATCACTCTGTTTCTGAACGTAAATAGTTTTAAAAAGTTTCTCGTACTTCTCCACGTTTTTTTCCCATTCATGACACTCTTTCCCTGCTTCAAATTATAGGAAAAAATTATTCTTTACGCTTTTTACCTATACCTTGTTTATACTACACTTAAACTTGTGCTATTTATTACTCTTTTTCCTATGATCAATATTTTCATAACTCTTTCGCTACAGTTTTTCTTCGTTCAAATGATACAAAATTATTTCTTCCCCCAATATGATATACAATTTATATTTAAAAAAATTTGTCATCATTTTCCACATGTTCCAGTAGCCTTTCAATAACTTTCTTCATCCAAACTTTGAAAGGAAATTACTTTGTTTATCGAAAAATAATTGTTAAAAGCAAACAAGCTTTTTTTATCAAGGAAAAGAAAGAAATAGAGAACAGTAAGACAAACAAACTTCCTTCGTTTACATCTATCGATCCGAGCAAATACAAAGGTCTAGAGATATTTGCAAACAGCTTTGTCATACTCGTAGAACAAGTTGAACCGATTAGAACGACGTGGAACGTAAGTAGTGTAAACGTAGACGGTCTACGTTTCTGGAGGTATTAAACGCTAGGTAAATCACTGGTTCGTTGTTACAAAGGACAAGTGTTTCGAAGAAAATCGGTCGACATCGACGTCCAACTCACTCCACCTTTCAATTACGCGAACTTGTTTACCCCGCTGCCGGGGTTGGAGGATGGTAAACAAAATCATACGTTTCTTTTTTTTTTTTCTTCTTCTTTTCGTTCCCTTTTTTAGCGACGTTGCTCGCAGCGAATCGCTTTTTCCCCCTCTTGTCGTTAATTAGCAGTTTAATTAAATGAAGTTTGCGTTCTTGCAGTCACTCGCGAGTAGATCGTGAATTTCGATTGCCAGTTTTCGTCGGCAAATCCGTTGGCAAGTTGAAGGAATACACGCGCGGCTGGTTGAGTTAATACGAGCACCGTTTATTAGGCTTCCACGCGAAGGATTTAGCAAATTCATAACAGCATTGAGATTATTATTATTTGCTTAAGTGTTAGGTGAATGATCACAGGCTACAGAAATGGGCGGTTTTTGTTACGAATCGATTTATGTTGAAATCTGTTGCGTTTTAAAGAGAAAATTATATTTTCTCTTTCTTTATTCAATTTGTAATTTGTCAGTTACAAAATATATAAAATACAGTGCTTTCTAATTCATTAGCAATCTATGAAAGATAATATATTATATAATATTTAGTAATTAAAAGTTATGTTATTTCTTTTTTTCTAAATTACTTTTGATATTCATATTGAAAATTAATATTTCTGAATTTCTAATTTCATTGTATGCCATTTTTCCCAGGGAAGCCTACTATGCTCGACACTGTACAAAGCGTAGGAGTATGATCTTTCAATGTAATTATTCATAATGAAGCAAATGGAAGGTGAAATCGATTTAAATGAATAAGCGAGCTATATGAATAGGATATATCAATCACGTTGCTCTTAATGAACTCGGTCGGTTCTTTAACAGCTATTTCGCTTTACGCTCTTCGATTCTTCGACTGCTATTTTATTTTGACTTTGAACTTTTTGATTAAATTTTAATCCATTATAAATAAAATCGAAGCAAAAGTAACTGAAGTTTCATTAAACTTTACTGCGACCCTAAAACTTCTATTAAATCCCATTAAACTCTTCGATTCTCTGATTAAACTTTTAATTCTTCGACCCTCGGTGAATTTCATTATTTGACTTCATTAAATTCAGAGAAAAAAGCTTCTTTTCAATTCTGTTTGAAGACAATTTTTGTATCTTTCGAAATTCCATTCAGTTTAAACCTTCCGATTCCATCGAAATAACTAAGCTTTTGCTTTGATTTCACTCAGCTCTTAGAACACGCGCTTACATCTTGTCTGCTTTCAGGCCAAAAAGGATTTTCCTCCATATGCATTCCTAGCATTCATTCAGACGCACACTCCTCTCGAAACAGACCCTCGCATTTCAAGCAGCCACTCAATCTCTTTCCTACTATCTCAACCACTTGCATCTAATTCACGAGGAATTCATTCACGTTCAACGTTGAAGAAGTTTATTCACCCATGCACTTTAAACCACCTTCTGTTTTAACAAAGGTACTACTCTAAAGGATCAACACGTGCTATAATTCTAACAAAAGAAGAAAATAGGAAAATTCTCCATCTTCCTTTTTCTATAAGTGTGCATAATGATTCTTCATCCTTATTCAGACTAAGCGGGCACTGCTACTTTGGCGATTATTTCTTTGAAGTATCATTTTCCCAAATTGATGAGTGCAAAAAAATTTATTTTGCCACGTTGAACAATTTGATGAGATAATGGCGAATTACGTAAATTTTCAAATAATTATATTAACACAAATTAAAGCATGCTTAGTTTAATGATTTCTGGCCCCTGTAATTTGAAGAAGAATTAAATTAAACATGCCATTACTTGTCAATTTGGGAAAATGGTACTTAAACGAAATAATGACTCTAAGAAATCATTTTAATTAGAAATTCGAAGAAGACCTTAGAATATTTGAAATGTCTCATTTCCAGAGCCAACGCAATATCATTAATTTCTGTCTAATGACAAATTCTGTCTAATGATCATTTCTTTCATCTTCTACTATTTGAGAAGTACAGTTTGACCCAGTTATTTGGGACAATGTACCGGACGTGTTAAAAAATCACAATGCCATTGAGATACCGTATCGTCGAGCACACTTGCCAATCGTAGAATCATCTCAAAGGTCGTTATTCGAAAAATATCCTATGCCACTACAGGATTGAATACATGTGTCCTCGCAAGATATCCGGAATTATTGCAGCGATAAGTGTGACCCGAGCTCGTTAGTAAGAAAGCGAGGTCGTATCGTAAGGTTGCCGGAAGTCGCGGGTATTCGACAATGGTGTCACGGCGAAGACTCTTGTTAACGCGAATGTGGTGGCAATCGATGAGTCACGATGCTGGTTAATTCCTCTCGCGTACGATGCAACGAGTTCACGGCAATTCCTTCTCGATTTCGACATTCGTCCTCGCCATTGTCTCCGTTTCCACCATTGTT